TGCGGACACTTTTTAGCGCGGACCCGACGTCCATGTAATTGTAAGTCAATGATCTAAATACAAAATATAATGTTCTTCAGTATCATTTAAAGTAAAATTGTAGTAAAAATAAATAAATGTGGATTATATCACTTTTGCGCTGATAGCCTCATTTATCTCAGATTACAGGTTGAAAACATTTAGCTTTCATCACGACCTGTATAATTGAATTTTTTATTCTAGTATTAAAATTTTAATGCATATCGGTTGGAAAACGGCGAAGGATAATGTGCAATTTGAATGGATGCCTAGACTTTGCTCGCTCCATTCGTTGTGTTCGGACAAATTAAAAATTGCATTAAAACAGTTGGAGATGCTGCGGAGAATAATTTTAAAGCTCGGTGAGGAGTCGTCTAGATTCATAGCAATATTGGCAACTTCATTAACTTTTGCTCAGAAAGTACCATTGCAGAGTTTGTTTATTGTACTACGTAATTTTAATTTAAAGTCCCGTTATATATCTACTAAAGTTTTGTTTAAAGTGCCCCTCCCTATTAACCCCTTGGTTATACGGGAATAGTACTACCACGTATGCAAGCAAGGCCGCACAGGAACCTTATGCAGTCAGGTCCTGACCCGAGATTCGCCCGTTTACACAGACTTGACCGGTGCTAAAAAGCTAGTGCTTTGAGTGAGCGACCCCGGGTGCACGTACCTACCTGTTTGGCACGTACCTACCTGGCATGTAGTTATATACAGCTGCTAGGCAAGGACGATCAAGGAAGAAACTAGTCTACATTCCGATGAATACGAGATATGGTGTTATCGCCGCATTCGTATCAGCTGGACGTAGAAAGTCGGAAACGAGATAGTACTTCGGCGCATTAACTCCACACGTCAGCTTATGGGGAGTATCAACAACGCAAAATGGCATAACTGTGTCAGGTATTTCGCCCCGATAGATACCGACTGTTTCAACTCATATTGATGATAAAGGGTGTAGGCAAGAGATACACTAGAAGACGTAAAAAAAATTTATATATATTATAGAGAATTTGCACGCAAGGATGACACAACCATGTCATACAAAGTGGAAATGGCGGACTGATCTCAGATAGGTCTTTCGAGACCTATAGTTCGCTCGCGACGAACGCTAACTACCGCTTCTACTGCGTTTATTGTTCTGTGTAAATGGTATTGAGTGTAATTTTGTACGAACGTTTGTATTTATAGAACATTTATATAACTCTAGATGTGGACTCCCAGCGAAGGTTTCTTGTATTACGGAAGTCCTTACGATCGTAATCTTGAGAAGTTGTTGTTTCTTGGATTCGATTGAACGGATCAATTCACTTTCCACACAAAAGCAATAGATTTAATTACTTCCAGCATTTTGCGTTTCATTGATTTCTTGAGTTCTAAACTTTCCATTTTTAATTTCCCTTTGTTGGTATTCCGTAGCCAATGGCTATTGTTTGATGATGATTATATTTGTATAATCACTTAAACCTGTTTGTCTTAAAAGTCCAAAAATATTATGTATATGTATTTAGAGATACGTATTCGTAACAGACGCTGGGTTACGGACCTTTTTGAAATTAGTTATTTACTTTTTCATTATTATTACAATTTTTTTTACTAATATGGTTCGTTTTGCTTAGGTCGAGCGGCAGGGACACTGTTTCAGAATTTGTTTTTTTACAAACGAAACCATAGTCATTTGAAAAATGTATATCGAATGGTATACGTATTCTATTTAGGTCACTTGATATTAAAAAAATCATTGGTATATGTAAAGTAACTGTTGAATGCAGCGGTTTTCTTGTAAAATTTAGAGGTAACTTTGTTTCTTTCTATCGTGAAAATTTTTAGGTATCGTGTTTTCACACCATGTAGTAATCAGTGTACATACTCAATTTTACTATATATTTTTTCCACAGTGATTGATTCAACACTTCCACTGTTATGCGGAATCAACCAAAGACATGTGAGGTGGTGTAGACTCTTAGGGTCGAGAACTCTACTCAATACTCAAGGCAGGACTTGAGTATTGCAGTGAGTACTGAAAATCATACTCAAGTCCTCGCCATTAGAGTCGTATTCCCAGTGCTTGAAATCATACTCAAGTCTGCTCAAGCCCTGACTTGAGCCTTGAGTAGAATTCTGAAATACGACCCTCAGACTCAATTCACACTGGCGCAGAGTCGAAGCGTCGCGTCGCGTCCTGTTTTTCAAGGGCTGGCGACGCTCGCATTAGTGCGCACGAATCACAGTGTCATCGGCGTCTGACGCCTAACTGCGCTCAAGTAACCGCTCGACTGCAACCAAGCGTCGACGCTTGACTCCATATTTGCATAACACAAATTTGTACCTTAATAATGGGAAAATAGAGATGAATATGCTTTAGGCGAAAAACATGACGCGTCGCGACGCTTCGGCACTGCGCCAGTATGAGTTAAGCCTTAAAATCCGTGGTAGCCAATGGTTTTACCTAGCGCATCTCAAACAAAAGTTTGTGGGTTCGAATCCGGGCTTGCACGTCTAAGTTTTCTGAATTTACTATGAGCCTTTAATGAAGTAAAACATTGTGTGGAAACCTACACATATCTACAAAGCAGTTAAATGATATGTGTGAAGTTTCCGAGCTGTATAGGGCCTGGATGCCAACTACAGCCTGTGCTTAGCAGTGGGACTATATACGCTAACTAATGTTATTTTCTGTAATAGTTTGCAGTTGATGTGACTGCGTATTAACAAAAACCGACTTTATATTTTATTTTACATAATATACGATATAGATTTGGATTTTTATGTAAATATATGTAATAACACCAACATTTTTATAGGGTCTTCGTAATTTTATAGGTGTCTTCGTATTTTACTTATTTCAATAAGGTTAATGAGGACAGTATATGGATTTATTTCAATTTACAATTTGAAATACTAAAGTGTATCCCTAATTCAAGGGATTCGAAGCTTGCGTTCGGGTTAATAGTTGAGTGTGAACTGCCACGTTGCCGCCGGTGTGTGATCCTTTATACCAGCCGGTGAAGATGGGATCGCGTCGTTATGTAGAACCTCGACAATGTTCTGGAATTCCGCTTGTAACCAGGATGCCATTAAGATAGAGATGCAGTCCCTGGATGTACTTTGTATTCACAGAAAAACTATTCTCTTGTGGTTATTTATTGCGTCCCAAAATAACGTTGCGATTATCGAGTTATGGTATGCATCAGATATTATTTTCGTATGATGTCATGGTGCAATTAGGGTTCCTTATTGTTTATGGGTTTTGGCACTGTTGATGGTTATTACTCAACTATAGTCAATATTACTAAACACTGTATGACACGGCATGATGTTGGGGCAAGAGTGAGGCAAACCGCGCCATTTTCTTAAAGGTGACCCGTTTTAAGTTACATTTAGAAACAAACTTCTTAAATTTCCATTCGCTTAATGAAATAAAACGAGAAAAAGCAAATAACCAGAGGCTATTTCAGGATTGCGTTCAATCAAGAAAATTTCATCTAATCGCTTTTTCCTTATTACGGTAATGGATTAAATAGTCAAGAAACAGATATAAGCATGGTCGTGAAGTAAAGTGATAACTACACAAATAACTTTTCAATTGTGAACTGGCAATCGGTACTATCTCAATTTCGACAACTTTACACGACGAAGAAAAAAATTGTATGCGTCATTTATATAACGTCTGGTTTATTTAATAAAAATACGTGTATAGTGTATGTGTAATAAAAATATTTAAAAACTAAGTAGTTTTATTTAATAAATCAGATGCTTTATAAATGACGCAAACAAGTTTTCTTCACCTGTAAAGTTGTCAAAATTGAGACAGTGTCGATAGTGAATTCACAGTCAAATTTTTTCCTTTTGGACAGATATATTTAATTACAAAATTACTCAGGTTCAAACACTTGTAAATAACAATCAAAGAGAGCCACGTTTCAGAGAAGTTTTGCAGACAATAAATCATTTTCAATAGATTTTGAAACAACGCGCCTTAGGAAAATAACGAATTCCTAACATTAAAATGTTTGATCAAGCAATGTGCTATATAATTTGAGTGAGTATTAAACGACGGAATATAAAAATTAACCCGGAAATGTTTGTAAACGAATGCTGTCTCGCTCACACATCTGCGGTCGCGCCATGGCGGATAGAGACAGAGAAGTATTTTTGCAAGCCGCACCGCTTTGCGCTTGATGTATTTTTTTCTTATAGTATCGATGGGATACACTATAATTCTTGCCATAGTGGTCGCCGATTGTTGCCAGGTTATGCCAGACTCCTTTCGTGTTATTTTTCCGGATTTAAATCGCGTATATTTGTTTTTTCAAACAAAGCAACGTTTCGGGCCCTCTACAGGTCTCATGGGCACTGTTGACTGAGGTGGTACAGCTATCAATCAGTTATGTCTAATATTAATGCAAACCACTCTTTTTTTCACTATAGTTACAAAAGTTATTAATTAAATATATTATCTTTTATTTTTCGAAGAAACATTCAAATTCACGCTACATTATGTTTTACAAATTACTTTGTATAAGTAATATGAGCTTTTATTAAGTGAAATTTATTTTTAATTAATAATAAAATAATAAAAAAAAATGTTTATTTCAGACAATTAAAAGTCCATACAAATTAGTATGTTAGTTAACATGACACACTTTATAACTATATAAGTATTGTGTTAGTAGATTAAAAAAATATTAAATTTCTTATTATACCTATTACTTAATTACATATTACCTAGCCTTCCAATCGATTCACCGACGCACACGTAGAACGTGTAATTCGGTGAACCTTCGGAAAACCGCTGCATCCATCCTATCCGCTATCATCTTCAGGATCTCGTTGTTGTTCCCCCAAACCCTTCGCACTACTGATGTGGACATTTTGCGCATAATGGCATAAAAATCGTCCACAGCAGCACTAGCAAACATGACAGAGGTACTGCAGAAGCGGGAAAGACTCAACAAGGCCCTAAAGGTGTTATTGCATTATTGGACTCTCAAGTCACCATATGTCTCAGCGTAAAGTTGAACCATAGAGCACACGTGTAGAAACTCTGGCAGTAAACTTTGACGAGCGTAAGTTTCACTCCTCGAACTGACATCGCACAGCGCCCTGTGCTCCTTCTTAATGTCCTTATTATCCTTCAGGTCCTCCGTATGACCAAGGTACATAAACTGTGCAACACGCCTCAAAGGTACACCGTTTAAGAAGATTGGAGGTACATAGGCTGGTTCTTTAATCTTATCCTTGAACAGTAAGAACTCACTCTTTTTCTCGTTGTACCTCAAGCCATGTTGCATAGCATAGGCCTCACATTTACATAAAAGTTTTCTTAAGCCCTTGACTGAGGTGCTGAGCAACAGCATGTCGTCCGCATAGCTAATGTTATTAACACTTACGTTGTCGATGGGACATCCGACATACGTGCTGCTCAGCATTCAGAGCAATATAAAAGCAATTAGATTATTAACATATAAATTAAAAAGTCTAAGCGAAGTTAATCCCCCCTGTCTAATACTACAGCTCAAAATAAATCATCCGATTTAGCATTTACCCACTTTACTACATTCTGTTGATTACGATACCAATGTGAGAAAATACCAACTATTTCTGGCGATATGCCAACTTCACTCAATTTTGTCCAAAGCACATCATATGACACAAGGTCAAATGCTTTTGACAGGTCTAGCAAACAGGCATATACCGGGGTCTCTCTCTTGATATAGTACTCAACAGCATATTTCAGTGATAACATGGCACTGTCGGCCTCCGACAAACCTCCTCTAAAACCAAATTGGGAATCATGCAACTGTATACGACTACATAGGTGGACATCTAATATTCTATCTAGAACTTTAGCTGTAACTGTTGCTCGTGAGATTGGCCTATAGTTGGATTTGTCAGCCAAGTCACCCGTGCGGTTCTTAACAAGAGGGACAACTACAATCTTCATTAGATTTGGTGGCAAGTAGGAGTGTCTTACACAAAAAGTAAATAACAAGGATAAAACTATTTCAATGTATAGTCCTGCATGTTTCAGATGCTCGATACTGAGCTCATCATGCCCCGAAGACTTGCCTCTTTTCATATTCTTGATCGCTAGTCTCACATCTTTGGCAGTGATTTCAATAGGCTGTTCCACATGACAGGGCTCAGCATCTGATATCTCTGATCTAGGTAAAAATAAAAAATTAAAATAGTCTTTAAAGATATTTGCAATCTTTCTCGGCTCGCTTGTACCTTCTACACTAGCAGGCAACTCTAGCTTACCTTAAAGTATTTTAGTACCCCTCCAAAATTGATCAAAACGTCGAGTCACATGCTGTGAAGCAAGTATGTCCTTTTTAAGTTGGTCCTGTCTCTGTTGACAGTTTAGATTAGTACTAAAGTCTTGCCTTAAAAATCTTACGACTTAAACACATTTTTTCGAATATAGGTCCACTCTTAGGTTTGCCATAGACGACGTACATTTGAAAATCTAATTGAGCTTGCTTATGCGCTGCGGCTACATGTTTGTTCCATCCTAACACACATTTACATTTATCAGATTTCTTAGTAATTCGACTACAACTAGATGTAGAAGCCTGACTAACAATAGAAACTATGTTTTATATAACTTATCTATAACATTTCTATGACTGACATCATTACACATACTATCTGCACAGTAATGTAATTCACAAGGAAAATCTATATGTTTTAACTGACTATTACAAATTTCTAAATATGTATCAATTTCTTCCGCGCTCCTTAGGCTGAATCTAATGCTATTTGTATAAGTTATAGTATGTTTAGATCTAATTAAACCTAGATTACACTCAATTATTAGTGGGTAATGATCGTACCAGTACACATCAAAAAAGATGTTAACGTTTGTAACAGTTGGCCATGCAGCCTGACTAGTTAAACAGTGATCTAGCCACCTCCTACTGCCTGTAGCCTGACAGACAAAAGTGTGCGTGTCCGATACATTGTCCAGCTTTTCCTTGTCCACACAAACCCATTGTCTATCTGAACAAAAACGCTCTAGCTCCCTTCCAAAAATAGACCCGGTGTGAGCGTTGTAATCACCTAATATATACACACAGTCTGTATCACACACTTCTTACAGTTGTAAGAAGTGTGTGATACTAAGTTAAGAGGATAATAAGTTTATTACAACTATATCTGAGAAACATTCTGTAAATAAAGTTAAATTTGCGGGTTTATTGACTGACATATAAACACACACGAACACCATATCACGGAAATCACTTGCTGTTGCTTTAATCGCAACAATACGCTCACTTTTACATGAAATCACGGATACGTGTTGAAACGCATATTTTTGCCACAATAGAGCAACGCCACCGTACAGGCGACCTCGTATTATGCTGCGTGCTGGTTCCATCCCTGACTTTCCAGTATAGCTATAGAAGTCCTTATCGATTTCACCAAGAAATGGTAGGTCTTGCGGTAACAGCCAAAATTCCTGCAATGCCACTATGTCAGCATCTTTGTATAATGATCTCACACAATCGGTACTGCGTTTTATATTCTTACAATTATAAGTTACAATGTTAATGGTTTTGATTTGTTCCATCAAATAGGTACTGAATTGACTCTGGATGAGTTCATAATTTGTCATGTTGCTTGATATCTTCTAAGGTGAACGAACTGCCTAAATTTCATCCCTTCTGGCCAGAAATTATTGTATTAAATTATTTAAAACATTTCTAATTTGTGTTTGGGAACAAAAATTTTGAAAGCGTTGTAGGATCTACCTTTCTTCATGGTGATCTTTTCCACACCAGCTGTCAATTGTGCCTTCGATTCTATGAAATCAGAGATATTTTGTTCCGAAACCTCTTTTTTCTCGTTCTATATAAACAAAGGTAATCTAATGTCGGCCGCCTTAAAATGAGAACCCGTATCTGCTAAAGCTTTGCCGTATCAATATGATCGATCGAGGCAAACGGAAGTCTTTGCAAATTCTAGGCAACGAAGATGGGCATACACTCAGGATCAACTTCTTTAAACAAACAAATAATATCTTCTAAGTTTCTTCTACTTTTTCCGTCCTTTTTCATCGTTATTTTACTTCGATTCTCCTTCACACATTCAAACAGCAACGATTTAGCATTCTCAATTTCTTTATCAGCGTACGTCGATTCACACATTGCAATCAAACTGACATTATCCATAACATCATGTTTGTATTGAATATATGACAATAACTCACAAATAACAATATTACAATTGCTACATTTTACTATTTGACACGAAGACATTTTAACACACGACAACACGTACGTACGCGTCGTTCGAGCGGAACTGGTATAATATAAATGGAATAATGGAAATTAGAATAAATTAAAATATATTAATTAGTACTGCAGTCTTATGTCTGTTCGGCATTTTTTACCCGAGGAAATACTGAATCCCAAACCGGTGACACGGAGAAACCATCTTCCCTGTTGAAATTAGGATGATGTAAAGGCAATTATCTAGAATTTTACAGCACGAGAGTCTCAACACAGAAGCATGGACATATATGATACATACATACTTACCAACACCCCATCTCTTACCAGGTTAGTCAGAGACCGTAGACGTGGTACGCACCTGACAAATCTTCGTTTCTTCCACTACTATATATCTTCATGCGTAACTGTTTGTTTGTTTAACCCAGTTTTTTCTAAAGACATCCCTAATCTGATTATTAGTGGCAAAATTACAGGCACGTGGGACTTGTCAACTTATGTCTCAGATCTTTGCGATTTAAAGCTCTGAGTGGCACTACAACTGTTATGGTCAGGCGTGTAGCTTAAAATTAGGCGCACGACATGTTCATCCTACCACTTGATATTAGAAATAAATTTTCTTGATATAAGAAAAAAAAGACATTCCCCAAGCCTCCATCCACATCCACTCTATTAATTTATACCGTCAATCTACTCACATTCATTCTTTCTACATGACCAAACCATCGAAGCGTCCCCCCACTTTACCCTGGCATCATATTTCATCACAACAGTATGGAAAAATTCCAAAGTAGAGCTCAAAATCTGAGATTAACTCGGATTCAAGCACCACATAATACTACATAAAATCGAGTACTGGTAAGTACAACAAATGATCCCCAAACAATTTTCAAGTATTTGAATAAAATATCGATCACCAAATCTGTTTTTAGAAGTTTATTCACAACAACGGTTTGGAATAATGATTAAAACGTGAGTTGACGAAACGTAATTCAAAGTGTTTCGGTTTGTTTTAAGCGTTGCTGGTATTTTGGGGTATATAATCTGAAAGTAAAAAAGACTTTTAAATACTAGAACACCGTGTGTCTAAAAAATTCTAGTAATTTCAAACACACCATCACATAATCACAACATATTTCTTTCTCTACCCTTTTTTGTCTAAATCCTTTTTTACGAGAAATCTTAGATCAACATCATTAACAAAAAATAAAATTTTATAATTTTATTATTAAAATACAATTTTTCCCGTGATGAAAATAATTTCGAGTATAATTTTAGAATTAAAATTCTGATAAAGTTGCGGGGTAGATTAAGTATAAACAAAGTTTCCTTGATGAACGATATTTCCAAAGTTAGAGGGCACTTAACTTCTGAACTAGTGAAATTAATCTTAAAATTTTCACCAAGTTTTAATCTGGGGTAACGTTACTTTTTTCTTCAGGAAAGTTGCTTATTGTCCAAAGGACCTAAAAAAGATATATGAAATTTACTGTTTCTTCGACGTTTTCATAAAATTGCTCCTTAATACTGAACTTGAAGTTGGTTATTAATATATCGTTTTTAAGAGGGAGCAGAGGAAAAATTACGAATCTTCGATTTGATTTTAGAGGGGCAAACTTAAAATATTGTACGAGTAACTACACGATATATTCAAGCACAGACGTTAATCAGAAACATGAAACAATAAAGTTTTCTCGATAGATAAAAATCACGAAAACACATCTAATTTTCACATTTTGTAGATTTATTCTCGAAATGCTACGGGTTATTAGGACAAAAATTAGATAATTAATTATATTTATGCATGATCGACTACTGTCGTTACGGATTTTTTAAAATCTCTTTAGTTTTAGAGTTATTCCGCTAAAACGAATTTGGCACTTACGACATTTTTAATGCGCAAAAGGCAACGTCTCCTGTCGCATGTCACGTGAACTTGAAGCATATATTTGTTTCACTAATTGGTCACTATCGCTCCGTTGAGACGAGTGGTGACATCCCGACGAAAAGAAAAATTGGTAAATTGGACAACGAGTTTCAACGGATTACTTCGAATTCTACATATTTGCACCTTGTTAAAACCCATTAAGAGAACAAAGGATTTGGTGTGTGGTCCCACTTCATAAGCGGTGAGCGATTTTTTATTTACTATCGCTGAAGGCGGTGAACGTAGTGAAGTAAAGTATTCTGTATTT